TTGTCCAACACCAAACGATTCATGATCTCAATCAAAAATTTAGTAATCTCCACAACCCCATACTGATATACAATTATCATTATCTGTTGTAAATTTTTGTAATTCTAACAACCATGTTGACTTGTCATTAATAGATTTCTTTCATAGTGTAATATAAGTGGTTTGCTTATAACAGGTTAATTTGAATTAAATTACGAATCCCATTGTTTTTATGAAATAACCTGTAGAGACAGTTTACTACTCATTACAGTTATTATATAATCTCTAAACTACTTCATTAACCGATTAATGCATTATTTGGATTTTTCTAATAATGAAGACATTTTAAACAGACAATGTCCAATTAAATGTAACAGATAAACCAGCTAATTGAAGGTTTAATGTTGTGGATATAAACTAAAAGCATAAAACGAACAATACACGTAATGATCAAACAAATCCGTTATATATAAGTAAAATGGAGTGTAAACAAATCATTGATTAGACATGTATAACATGCAGGTTTTTTTATTGACTATAAGAACTACACAACTAACACTGTCATCCATTATGCGAACTAAAATTAACCCATAACAAACAAGTATAGTAAGATAGTTACCCTTTATAGCGTTCATCACATTGAAGCTTACCTGGCACAATTGTAGAAAGCTTCTCTAGTTCACGACTTCACATATCTTACTATTCTTTTCAAATTAATAGATCATATGAGACTCATTAAAACGTACAATGATTAAAAAGTTTGAATTAAATTAAATTATTGAGAAATGTAAATCAGGTTCAATTATTCAACCTGAGGTTACATTAATTGGCAGAGTCGTTTTTTTCTCCTATTTTCTTGTAACTGTCTTCCCTTGTAAATGTTTTTAATTCTGATATTTTATGTCTTACTATGGAAAATGAATTTCCGTAGTCTTAACGAAACTTGGTCTATTGACTTGTTATTATTTTTTTTATCTTGTTGTCAGATGAAATATTCCGACCGACCATAAAATAGATAAATTTCATATGATAGCTTATTAGTAATCATTGTGATAAACGTTATCTTTGCTTAATATGAACCACTCCAATTATGTTCATCATAGTACTTAAAAATACCTATTTCAGAAGGGTTTTTGTGTATATAATAGTAATTCTAATGGTTGAGATCATGAGTCAATTGGAGCTAGTAGATGCAAACTGCTGAGAAGTCTCACAATAGGACGAAACGGCCGTCCAGTGCTTCCAGGTTTTCCATGGTGGTCTAGTTTCGATTGACTCATGATCTCAGCCATTGAAATATTTATTTCTACACATATACTTGTATAATTTTTTTTATCACACACTGGTTTCAGACAAGCAAATATAGGAAACACTCAATATATATTTTGTCCCAGTTTAGGACTCCTCACTAAGAGTCAGACATAATCGCTCTTGATAATCAAAATCAAGATCTTCTGATCCCGTAACAGTCATGATACCTTATAACTATTAAATTTAAACACAGTGATTCGTTTTTTTATCTTTACTCACTTTTAACTGCAAATGTGCCAAAATAAATTTCTAGTTCTACCGGAGTGTCAATTATGACATATTTGTTAGAAGTCAATAATAAAGCTTATCTTTAGACTGACTGATTCTCCGCAAACCATTTTTTTTATTCGAAGGATGTTTCGTAATAAATATTTTATCATAGACCAAGAAATAAGTTTCGTAAAACTTTATCGATGATTTCATTTTTATTCAAAAATATGTAGATATTGTTTCTAAGCAAATTTAACGTTCTGTAAAGTAATATACTAAAAAATAACATCCTTTTTGTGTAAGTAAATAGAGAAATTTAAAATATCAGAAGGGATTTTATGGAGATTTTAGAAATTCCACTGATTGAAATCATGAGTCAATCGAAGCTAGACCACCATGGAAAACCTGGAAGCATTGGATGGTCGTTTCGCTTCAGTGTAGGACTCCTCAGCAGTGTACATCCACGATCCCTCACCCCACGAGATTCGAACCCAGGACCTGTCAGTAAACTCAACAGCTGATTACTTGTTACATTCTATTAAAAACTTAGTAAGTATATGTCAATGTGTCTGTGTATATGTATATGAGTGACTAACTTCAGTTCTGGAAATTTAATTAGTTCCAATGACTCCCTTTCTATTCTTGGTACATTATTTGTTAATTCATTTGTAATGTAAACGTATATTTGGAATGTTTTAATTATTTGTATAAAATTATTGAATGCATTTTTTAAAAATTATTTCATTTTTTGTATTTCTTTTCTTTTTATTCAAAAAAAATTTGCCTCAACAAACTGTCTTATGCAACTAAGGATCAGTTCCAAATTTAAGTGATGTATTACTTACTTACGCCTGTTACTCTCAATGGAGCATAGGCCACCGACCAGCATTCTCCAATCCACTCTGTCATGGGTGTTCCTTTCTAGTTCTATTCAATTGTTGTTCATTCTTCTCATGTCTGTCTCCATTTCTCGGCGTAATGTGTTCTTTGGTCTTCCAACCCTCCTTTGGCATTGATGATTCCAAGTGAGAGCTTACCTTGTGACACGGTCGGGTGCTTTCCTCAATGTGTGTCCTATCCATTTCCAGCGCTTCTTCCTGATTTCTTCCTCCACTGATATCTGGTTTGTTCTCTCCCACAGTAGGTTGTTACTGATAGTATCCGGCCAACGGATCCGAAGTATTTTGCGTAGGCAACTGTTAATAAACACTTGTATCTTCTGGATGATGGTCTTGGTATTTCTTCATGTTTCCGCCCCATACAGTAAAAGTGTTTCGACATTTGTATTGAAAATTCTGACCTTGGTGTTGTTTGTTATTTTTTTTTTAGTTCCAAATGTTCTTCAGTTGTAGATATGCTCTTCTTGCTTTGCCGATCCGCGCCTTCACATCTCCATCAGATCCACCCTGTTCATCAATGATGCTGCTAAATGATGTATTAACTACCTTTTTCGATCCAATATTGATTTTTTTTTTAAATATGGGCTTCCTTTTAATAATTAAACATATCTGCTGAAACCTTAAGTACTAATAAACATTACTGAGCGATCTAATATCGTTCAGTTTTTATTACAACTACATCTTTAAATTCTTTGGAATTAAAGTGACTACATTTGGTTCATAAGCCAATTAAACTGTACTTTACTAAGCTATTCGTTTCAATTCGTTAACTTTATGAGGAACAAAAAGATTAATTTCAATATAATTGTCTTGAATAAATGTGAAAATAAAAGATATTTGTATTAGAATGACATATATATTAGTGAACAATATTGTTTTCATTTGAATTCTCATTAACCTTTACGCTATTTTGTATTGTAAAAATTTGATAATGACATGCATGAGTGCTTTATTCTTCTTGAAAGTCATAAACACTAATTCCTTTCATTTTTACATAATCAGTAGTAAATTATAGATCTGTACAAACAATAACAGCATAGAATGAAGACTTTATTCTTATTTAATATTAATATATTATAAAGAGTCTATGATAGATATACATAGACGCAAAGATATATCTTACTGATCAATCTCAAAATCTATATTATTTATTTCAATATAACAAAGAAAACCGATTTAAATGATTAACAATTGAATGATGTCTAGTTTTATACTGTCCTATTATGTTCTATATTATGAATTTGTTTAAACCACAATTATCATTATTATCATTCCAATTATTTGAATGCGGTGACTAAACCTAAGTTAAAGGATAAATTTACATTTGTAAATAACTAACAGATTATTGTAGACAAACCTAGAATCCTAGTCAACATAGAAAAAAAATTTGGAAAATAAATAAACATATACGAATGTTTATTTCTTTGTGAGGTAATCGACAATCGTATGCCTGTAAGACAGTGTAACCATATATAAATATATATACCACACATATGCTTAGATTTTTAGGAATTAAGCATATACATATGAAATATATTACTGATGTTTTAGTCGTAATACAAATAGACGATTTAATTTTTTCATTTTCTAATTTCCTAAATAGAATACACATTTAATTAAATCAAATTTTCCCCATGACACAATAAAACAAACAAATAAAACCATAAGCAGATGTTTATCTTGTTTATTTTCCCTATTTAAATTAAAATTTTGTCGACATAGATTATTATTAGAAAATAACCATTATGATTTGTATGTCATAAGAGATATTGTAGAGGTTGAAACGAAGATAATGATGAAATCATATTTAACTCAACCTTAACTACCGAATTAAGCAATATATGACTCAGTGTCTTATATATATATATATATATATTATATATATATATATATATATATTTTAAAAGTGAATTACAAAGAGAGAGTTTTAAAACAATATGACCAGATAATACTAGTATTAAGTATATTACGCAGAAAATATCAAAGATAATGTGTTAGACTGAGAAATATATATTTATTTGGAGGTAAAAGTTGATTAATATGAGACCAACAAGATGATTATCCGAAGGATCAGATACACTTCATATGGGTTCTACTGAGAAAGCCGTGATTCTTGACCGGATGCATTAAATATGTAGTATTCATTGATACTCTGGATAATAAGACTCTTTATGACTTACGAATATTTATATTTGGATATCTATGTTTATTTTTCACAGGTGATTATCCCAATATATTAATATGTCAAACTACGAAATTGTTCATTCATTCACAGTACGATTAATATAGCAAATCGTCTAAACACCTATTTTCAGTATCAAGAAATATTCTATTCAGAAAAAGCTAAGATAAAAAATGTCCATAATCTAGAATCAATATAATCTAATTCCAAAATAAGTTTATCTCCGCATAGTTTCAATCATTTACCTAAAAATGCAAAGCTACTATATAGAAAATATACTTCTCATACTTTATATGATATTTACTATTCAACAATTGAAATAATTTAAGCATAAATCAAATTCTCGAAAACAATATTTGAATTTGTTTCAAAACAAGAAAAAGAAAAAGAGTCAATTCATATGACATTCAATGACTTACAGAATTTGTAAATGCTTTCAAACATTTAGCTGCACAAATTGATTCACTGATTAAATCCATAAAATCTCCATGACATAATAGAAAATTGATAATAAACAGAATAATATAATAATTTGTATGATACAATAATCGTACCATAGTTTATCAATAAAAGTATAATTTATTAAGTATCTATGTCATGTTATGTTTTATTACTCAGTTTTATGAAAGGAAATCATTTATCTACATGGTATCAAGTTTTTTTTGAGGGGGAAAAACGGTTTAAATTGTTTGTTTTTTTAGTTTTTATTCTGAGAAATTTAATGAACTAACTAGTTTTACAAGTGATAAAATTTTCATAGAAATATACAGCACTTAACTAACAAAATACAACCAATCAACAACTTGTATGGCAAGGTCATATGCGCGTATGTTCATTGGTTAAAAAGCAAGAATTTAATCAAAATATTATTTAGAATATGATTGACCTCTGAAAATATGATAATAATAATCATTATTATTTTGTGAACACATGTATGACAGATGATAAATTAAATGAAAGAATCATTTTACTCATCAAAAGAATAGACAATTTTTATTTTGATGATTAAGGATAATTTAGAGGAAGAAAGAAATATTTTGAGAATATTAGTTATGCGAATTCTTTGATATTCTCTGTTTTTTTTGTATTCCACATGTGACTAACTATTTCACTTGAGTTCGAGGAGCGATTCGGTAATAAAAAGATTAGTTTTACCAAATATATATATATATATACACAAAATGGTGGTTCTTCCTATTTCTTAAAGGAACTCATTGGCAGTGTCGAAAGTTATGTTGATAATGAAATACCTATCAATTTACAGTGGATTTCATAAAGGAACTCATCATTAGTGTCGAAAGTTATATAGGTATAGAAATGCATATCTAGGGCTAAGGGAAATTTTGTGTTAAATGATGAGCTGTTTAACTTATATGTATTTAAATCAAAAATAGTGACACCAATCATGGACTTTCATGTTTCTAGATTTAAATGATTCTATCTAATCAATGTATTCCAACGGTTTTCATAGAAAAACCTCTATGACATACATAAACTTTTTTTATCAGATAACGCTATAAAATCTACTGTTTTCATCTAAGTTGTATGTCATAAATTCGATTTATCCTTGAATTAAGACATTTCAAAAATCTTAATGTTTAAAACAAATAACTAAAAATAATGAATATCATGATAGGGATAAACGAGTATGATGATCCATTGTATGATCTTATCTGTATATTGATGTGTATTTTTATTAAAAATACATGTAACTATCGTAAAGAACATGAAGCATTTTCCATAAAAACATAGTTCGAATCCATACCAAGTTTTATGTAGCTTTTATTTATCATTGGATATAGTGAAAAAATTCATTCTTATGTTGAATGAAACCTAAAGAGTATGATGTGGTAGAAATATAATTAGTTTGAATGACTTGACCTAAAACGTTAAGTTACTACTTAATTACGCTTGTTGCACCTCGTGAAGGAGCATAGGCCGCTCACCAGCATTCTCCATCCAACCCTGTCCTGGGTAATCCTTTCCAAATCTTTCCAGTTGTTATTCATCCTTTTCGTATCTGCTTCTATTTCCCTCCCTCTTTTCCGCTTCCCTTCAGGATTTCCAAGATAGAGCTTGACTCGTGATACCGTTTGATGATTTGTGTAATTTATGTCTTATCCATTTCCATCGTCTCTTCCTAATCTCCTCTTCAGCTGGAAGCTTGTTTGTTCTCTCCCACAGAAGGCTGTTGCTGATGGTATCTGGGCAATGAATGTTGAGTATCTTGAGTAGAAAACTTTATGAATAGTTGTACCCTCTTGATGATGATTGTTGTAGTTCTCCAAGTTTCAGCGCCGTACAGCAGAACTGTTTTGACGTTCGTATTGAAGACTCTGACTTTGATATTGGTTGACAGTTCTTTTGAAGTTACTAACAAGAGTATAACTCAAAAGAGACTATCGAAAAATCGTTTACAATTATTGTGTGAAGGATTTATTAAAGTACAGATAATTCTATCAATCAGAAATCCCATTTTTAGTTTACCACAACATTGTGTTGTTTAACAATTGTATTTCATCTTTTTATTTTAAATATAATAGTGTTCTATTCAGTATTTGAGATTTTGAAAAACTTTTTCTCATTATCATTCATTTACATTCTAATTCAAGTGTGTTTGCTGAGAACATTTCCACGGTGAAATTGGTGTAAACGTGTTTGTTTTGTATAGACGAACATGTATTGCCCATAAGGAAATATCATTCAATTAGACTAGACGACACTGTACATGGAACATCACTATCTATATTATTGTTTATGATAAGTTGTATTAGCATTAATACTAGATAGTTAAATCGGAAGGATCATTTTCTAAACGGCAGTAAACGTATCCATATAAAGTTCGGTCAAATTTGACATGGAATAATCTTCGAACGTTTATTTTTGAACATGATCATAACTCTATCGCTTGTATGTAAGTTTTACGAGAGTTTGTTTCAATAAATAGTCCAGATACGTTTTACTAACGTGAAATTACCATTGTTATTAGATGTATATTATTACGATGTCCAATCATAGATGATAAGATGAGTTGAGAAAAGTAAATCAATCGGTCATATAAGTACAAAGTGATCAAGTCACGGATACGATCATCAATTTGATGAGAAACACGTCGAGAACTGATATGCACAGTTTGATAAAAAAAACTGGAAATAAAAACGGCTGAATATGAATATAGAAACTTGGCTTGCTTTTCTGAAAATAAGATAGGGAAAATAGTAGCTATTTGTTTTGTCTTCTGATACTAATCAACATATGCTCACTAGTGACTGGCTTCAAGATGTATATCCTGGAGTTCTAGTGAGAAGTAGTGGCCAGTGGAGTTCAACCGAGTCTGTTGTGAGATAGTAACTCACTGATGACAATGGTGGATCTGTCACTCAATTTCGTGAATTAGTTGAAGTTAGACATTAGCACCGTTGGATGCCGGCTGGCTCAGTGGTCTAGTGGTTAAGCGCTCGCGTGCGGGACTGATAGATCCGGGGTTCGAATCCCGTGAGCGGGATGATGGATACGTACTGCTGAGAAGTCACACAATAAGACGAAACGGCAGTCCAGTGTTTCCAGGTTTTCCATGGTGGTCTGAATTCAATTGACTCATGACCTCAACTACTGAAATTACTACAATCTCCACAAAACCCATTTTGATTCTATATATTATATATTGTTCTCCATCTGTTGGAATATACATAAATATGAACATGAAAGTTTCCTAAAAATTTGGTTTAAAAGACTGCGTATGATTACAAGACAAAAAATCACTTAAATATATAAAAAATATACTAATCAGTGAATATGTGAATCATTATAAATTTGTAAGTGAATTTATAAACGATCCTATATATAAACGATTTAGATATTATCGAGGATTTATGACCGAAATCGAACTTACATTCTCCTTATAAGTACTTGTAACGACAGGTTTAAAAGAACTATGCTCATTTCAAATGAATTTTAGTTACCATATTAGGATTGTTCACGACTATACGATTGCTATTATCCACATAATTCGAACATTTAAACTCAAACTGAACAAAGGTGAAGCTTAAAACATCGAAAATTGATTGTAACCGAATTTACATAAGGAGGGAGATTAATGATCTTAGATAGGTTATAAATAGATAATGCAATTAAAAGTATGCTGGATAAAAGTATGGTGAACTAATGTGTTAAACTTAACAAAATGTTTTAACGTATACCACTTAAATGGCTACTTGTATCTTAAGTACCATTATAGCGTTACAGTTTCCTGTTTATCACTCAATGTAGCAAATAATTTAAAAATAATGAAAAAAATTTCTTGATGTTAATAGATAAAATTAATGCAAACCTTCCTCATTAAATATAAATTTCATAGTTTCATGAAATGTATTACATTGAAACTAAGACATGTAATAAAAATGCACTTTATTAGATTCAAATCGAATAATAAATTTAGTAAATTAAATACATAACTTAAAATGGTCTAGACAAAACATTATACCTAGAATGAATACAATTTTAAATAAAGATTGTATCTTGTTAAACAGAACTGAATATATTGCATGTTTGAATCATTCAAAATTGATGTATGCTTATCATTCACAATAGTTAGATCCATCATTATGAACCTGATAATAAAAATCAAATCAGGTTTCCGTTTTTTAACATTTCTTTACTATACTTCCATGATCATGATAATGCAAACACATTCGAATCACTATTTTAATAAAATTAACTCAACCGGATCTAATATATATATATATATATATATATATATATATATATATATATATATATATATATATATATATATAAATTTAGTTTAAACAAGTGATGCATAAAGGTTTAATTGGTTAAGTCGAACAGTGAGATCAATATGAGGAATACGTTTCGATAAATTGTCCCTCGTTTAAATCAACCATCTAACCAATCATTTTTATTGAAATCATGGGTCAATTGAAGCTAGACCACCATGGAAAACGTGGAAGCACTGGACGGCCGTTTCATCCTAGTATGGGACTCCTCAGTAGTGAGCATCCGAGATCCCGCACCCCACTAGATTCGAAACCAGGACCTATCAGTCTCGCGCCAGGCACTTAACCAACTAGATTACTGAGCCGGCATTCAATGGTGTTAATGTCTAACCTCAATCAATCCACAAAATTGCGCGACCATCTTTCATTTTACTGAGGTAGACACCTGTTTCTACCCGACACGGATTAGATCCACTGGTCACAGCGAAACGGCCGTCCAGTGCTTCCAGGTTTTCCATGGTAGTCTAGCTTCAATTGATTCATGATTTCAATCAAAAACTTAACAATCTCCACAACCCCTAAACTGATAATCATTTTAGGCACTAATCCTTTTTTGATATCAGTAAGTGTTCATTTTACATTAAAACCTAACCTATGAAATTGAATACATATAGATTTCAAAAATATATAATGTATATTAATACAAATGTACTCACATAAATACATCTGTATACAAACACATGCATGCACTGATGAGTACATGTCTACACGTACATACATACAAACAAACAAGCGTACATTCATACATACATACATACATA